CCACGCCGCGCCGCCCCACGCGCCCGCGGCCCTGGAAGGATCCTGGAGAAGTGGCTGGAGGTTTCCGGTGACTCCTGTGACGATGGAACAGCAAAAAGACGAGGCCAGTTCCGAAGGGTGAGACAGACAAAGACCCCCAAGAAGGGGACAGAGAACCAGAGGAAGAAGGGGACAGAGAAAATCAGAAGGGGGGGTTGGAGGACCCTGAAAGCGCATCAGAAAAAAAAAAACAAACAGCCCAGGTGTTATCACACAGAAGGAGAATTTTAGAGGATCTCAGTGACAGACTGTGGAGCAGTATATTTAGAATGGAAAGATCTAGAAACATTCAAAAGTTTCCACGCTGGGCATGATGGCACGAGTCTGTGATCCCAACAGTTTGGGAGGCTGAGGCAGGAGGATGGCAGCTTCTGGCCCAGCTTGGGCAATTTATCGACTTCCGGAGACCCTGTCTCAAAATAAAAAATATGCTGGGCATATAGTTCAGTGTGAAGGTCCTGAGTTCAATCCCCTGTACTGGAGGAAGGAAAATTCCAAGAATGAACTAGGAGCCTTGAAGATCCTAGGGACACTCCTAGGGCTAGAGGAAAATAAAATAATTTTGCACATTTCTTGAGCACTCAAGGCACTAGGCCCTTTCATACGCCTCCTTGAGGCCGCCTGTGGCCACCTTTCCTTGAGAAAAGTTAAGGTTGGAAATGGGGAAATGCGTTGCCCAGGCACACAGTTCCAGCCAGGAGTTGGAGCTGAGTGAGGCACAGCGTTGTTCTCCCCTCTGCCAGAGACTGGTGGGGACGGAGGAAGAAAGGGCGCGGGTTCCCGCAGAGATGCTGACCGTCAGACCCCCGACCTGTCTTCTTGTCACCCTAGGAACAGCGCGAACCTGCCGTCCCCCGGGACCGAGGCCTGGCCCCCTTTGCCCTTCCCAGCCCTGCCCCCCTCGTTCCTGGGCACCCCAAACCCAGCCCACCTGGGGCTCCCCGAGCACCTGGCCTCGCTTACTGTCCCCATCCGCCTGGACGCCCTGTCCTACCTCCTGCACAGCGCCCTGCTCGGGGCCTACCACCTCCAGCAGACCTTGCCCAGCTGCCCCTTCCTGTCACCTTCTGCCTCGTTCCCATGACCCAATCAACTTCCAAAAGCCCTGCCTCTGAACACCAGAGGTGACACTTTGGGAGGACATTATATAACACATAATATATTTGTACTTTGAGTTCAGCAGACCTGAAGCCCCTCACTTTCATGGCTTATGTCATTGGCTTCAGAACCTTCTCCCTCTTGGTATAAACCAAAATCTGCTTGACAGGTAAGAATCCCAAATATTATTTTTCTGGCCATGCTATTTAGTCATTTCCTTTTCTGCTTCCTCACAGTATTGATCTGTCCTTTCTTTGCAGGCATTTTTGCCTGAAAATCACTTTGCGATTCACCTCTCAGGTGAATACTCTTCATTTCCTTCTCAGTGTTTTTGCAGAATGGATCTTTGTCTCTATATTGAGTGTTTAAATGGAACATGACATAGCAACATTCTTCAGTCTCTCCCTGGATAGTTTGACCTGGTTAACAACACAATCTTCATTGTGGTTCTCCTGATTCCAAGTTCTCAGCCATATCCTTT